ACACACGGGCGGGTGTGGCCCGAAGCCGGTCCCGTTTGTAAACAGTAGTGACTGCGGCAGGGCACCAGCCGGGCGGGCGCCTCTGCCGTCTGCTCCTCCGACGAGGGCCTTTCAGCGGATGGATTGCTGGCTCTTCCCTACAGCCCTCTTTCCTGGATCCCCGTGCACGTCCTCAGACAAGTCACCGAGCTCTGCAATTTTTCGTGCCCTTGGGGCTGGCTTCGGAGCCTGGAGCCAGAGTCCGTCCAGGAGCCGGAGCTGAGGGGAGGGGGACAGGCGGCCTGGGAGACCCCAACCTCTCCCGGGCAGAGGCTCCCGTCTGCTGAGGGCGCGCGTCACGGCCTGAGCCCTGGGCACGGAGAGCGGTGTGAGGACCGCAGCTCTGCAGCTGGGCACCCAGGCCACCCAGGGGGCGGGCTCGGGAGCCACCGACAACACACCTAGGGTGGCCCGTGCTCTTGGCTCAGGACCTCGGCGCTGGCCGGTCTGCAGTGTGGGCGCTGGTGGTGGCAGCCGGTGGTGCTCCCGGGCCTTCCGGGGCCACAGCGTCCCGGTCCACCGCGGCCTGCTCACTGAGGGCCCAAGGGAACGGAGCAGCCACGTGCATGGAGACTGGCCCCGCCAACCACTTTTCTGATTCACCTCCGAGTCTGCCAGGCTGGAAGTCACGCGAGACGCATCCACTGACAAACAGTCGGTGGCACTGGTGACAATCTCGGGTCCCTGGGTGACCGTCACAGTTCATATTAGCTGAATGTGGACGTTTTCTGCCTTGTGAGTTCTTCCTTTTAGGCCGTCTCACGAAGGTGAGCCTTACATCCCGTAATCCACCAACACGCTAGGTTTTAATAATTTCCGTCCGATGTCAGCGTTCCACAAACCCGTACTGAGTCTGCCGGTCGTCAGCGCCACGTGCAGCAGGCTGCCCACCAGACGAACCCCACATTTTTGCCTTTTACTTTGCTTTGTTCTTTGTGTCGTTTTAATTGTGTGACTAAAAAATGGACTAAAGAATTTGTGCCACAAAATCTAAACAGAAATAAAAACCATGAGAGGCCCAGACATGTATCATGGTCTCTCCTTGTCAAAAAGACATTGCACGGCAACAAGAAACGTGCGGGCGAGGGTCGGTTTCCTCTGTCTGCAGGACAGGCAGCTCAGAATCACCTCGCACTGCGCCCGTGGGCCCCGCGGCAGGAGTTTGGGGCTTTGTCAGTCTGGGCGTCAGAAGGCCCTGGTGACAAGTGGCCACATGACTCTGGGCAGCCAGGCCTCCTGTGTGGGTCGTCATTTTGAATCTGGACAAAGTGGGTGTTGGGAGAGGCAGTGTGCTAGTCCCACGTTAGCTCCAGAATCGGGGGCTCACGAGGACAGACCCCTCCAGGTGCTGCTCTGGGAGATCACGGTGGGCTCAGGGTGTGTCTGACCTGCCCCAGGGGCTTGAGAATCACTGTTCCGGGAGCACTGTGTTAGAGGGTGACAAAAGGGACCACGGTCAAGTCAACAGTGTAACCGGTATAACAAGCCGGCTATAAAGTACGCACCGCAAGCCCCCAGGCCTGTGCATGAGGCCTGCTCTGACCCAAAATCCTGCACAGAAGCATGACCAGTCTGGGCGTGTCATGTGACTAAGCTATGGGAACCCCCACAGTTGGTCCCTCCCTGCAGGGCACGTGCTGGGCAGAGTCTCGCCCCCCGGTGGGGTCGGGTTGGTGGAGAGGCCCCTCAAGGACAAAGGGAGCAAGGCCCAGGGCTGAGCACTGGTCACAGCTGCCTCCTTAGCTCGGACGGTGGCCCTGTGTGGCCGGTGGCCACAGGCACAGCAGGTTCCTCCTCTCTCTGGACACCTGTTTGCTTTTTTATTGCAGGCAAACAGGTGTCCCCGTGCCCACTGGCCCGCTGGGCCAGGCCGCCGTGTTTCTCGCGGCTGCGTAAGGGCCCCCGACAGGAAGACCTGCCTCCGCTGTGTGTCCCGAGGTCTCTGCACGCAGCACAGACACCTCTCTGCGCCTCTTGTCGCGGAGTTCCGGGCCCAGATCTGGAACTCGGCGGGTGGAGCGGGCCGGGCTCACCAACCGCCCTGCCCAGCCCTCTGCTGCCGGCGAGTCCAGTCCCGCGTGTCCAGTCCCACGTGTCCGGCCCCAGATCGCTTTCACTGTCCTGGTGCTGGTGGCAGACCCCCCTCCTTCCAGCTGGCCCTGCCTCCTCGCCTCTCTCCTTGCAGCCCCTTTGCTGGAAAGGAGGGGACAGGCTGACTGCGGCCACCTCCGCCCCAGGGAGGGAGCAAAGAACCGCCGCAAGCCTAGGCCGGGCCGAGGGCGAGAGGCCGCGCGCGGCAGCCCCGTGCCGGGCCTCTGCTCTGCGGCTGCCCCAGCTCCAGCCCGGGCGACGAAGCGCGGCTCCCGGGGCCTCTGACAGTCCCGGAGCCCAGGCGCGCTGGACTCGGCTCCACCCGAAGGCCCTCCAGCTGTCCCCTGAGACGAGAAGGTCGCCGCCCGGCCTCAGGCACGCGGGGGGGCAAGGGATGGCGCTGCGGCCTGCGACGCGGGCTCTCAGAAGGCGTCTGGGCGAAGCTCCAGTTTCCCATTTAATAGCACATAAATATAATTATTTAAACACAGAATGCCCTTTGGAAGTAACTATAATTTAAAGGGAAATAAGTCGTCGCCTCGTTGGTGGGGTGCGGCCCGCCGCGGGGGGCGCTCTGCGCACCAGGCGCGCACGCTGTTCCCGGCGCTTCCTGCGGAGGAAACGCAACCATCTAAGCAGCACTGGCCTTTGGTCTGGTGACCGAGGACGGACAG